ATTAAACTGCATCCACCTCAAAAGCCTTGCATTTTGTGAAAGATCTTAACCTACTCAAGGGAGAAAATAATCTCAAAGCAAACTAAACATTACTCATTAACTTTAGCTTTGGGACTGTACAGCAAATCAATGATTTATTCTGTTAAAAATGGAAAAAGAGAGATAACAAAAGGAACTGTGTCCCCCATTGAAACAGAAAAGGTAAGTATGAGTGTGTGTGTGCATTTGATTTCTGTGACCCACACCAATAGTAGTTTAAGAATACAGGTGGGGAAAAACCTTCCTAACAAGACAAATCTGAAATAAATAACCTAAACCCTTTTACCTGTTCAGACGTGAAGCCCTGAGAAAGCAAAATATTATAAAGTGGGACCACTGGAAATGTACACTACATTTTTCAAATGCTGTGTTAGGCTATAATCCTATGTACTGTTGTTGTGTGCCTTAAAGTCGTATGGCAACCCTATCATGGGATTTTCTGGGGCTGAGAGTGTGTGGCTCACCCAAAAGCTACAATCCTATGTGTTGTTGTTGTTGTGTACCTTCAGGTCATATGGCAACCCCGTCATGGGGTTCTCTGGGGCTGAGAGTGGATTTCCATGGAGGAGTGAGGAATCGAACCCTGGTCTCCAGAATTGCAATCCAATGCTCAAACCATGCTGGCTCTCAATCCTGTGTATGTTTACTCAGAAGTAAAGTCCTTGTTTAAACAGAGGCTGGATGGCCATCTGTTGGGTGTGTGTGTGTGTGTGTGTGTGATTTGATTGTGTATTCCTGCATGGCAGGTGGTTGGACTGGATGGCCCTTGGGTCTCTTTCAAGTCTATGATTCTAAGAGACGATACAATAGCCCTGTCCAAATATTTGAAGGGGTGTCATATTGAGGATGGAGTAATCTTGTTTTCTGCTGCTCTAGATACTAGGCCCTGGAGTAATGGATGTAAACTACAAGAAAAGAGATTCCACCTCACCATTAGGAGAAACTTCTTGACAGTAAGAGCTGTTTGACAGTGGAACACATTTCCTCGAAATGTGGTGGAGTCCCCTTTGGAGGTTTTTAAAAAGAGGCTGATATCCATCTGCAGGGATGCTTTGATTGTAAGTTCCTGCATGGCGGGGGTGGGTGGGACTGGATGGCCTTTGGGGATTTCTTCCAGATCTAGGATTCTATGATTCCTTCTGTATCACAACTTTCTGTTCTGGATGCTGCTACAGGCTCAGAACTGGCTGTAACTGTCACAGAGAACCTGCTTTGCATTGTGGTTTTGAATTCCCAGGAAAAAAAAATCCTGCTCAAAATGCCACTAGTTTTGGTAAAAGTGGACTAGATGGACCAAAAGCTTGATTCAATATAAGGCAGCTTCCTACACTTCCTTTCATTCAGCACTTTGGCATACAGCCATTTTATAATGACAAGCCCACCAACTTCAAAGCGTCCAACGCTGGCGGACTGGAACTAAGGACCTTTGCCCAGCCCCTAGTTTTCCAAATTTTCCAAATTAACCAATAAAATACCTCTGAGAAGCCTAACAGCAGGACATGATGATCGCCTCTCTTTCATTGGGTGTTTATTCTCGTTATCAGATTATTATTGTATTTATATCATGCTTTCCCCCCAAATGGGATTCAAAGCAGCTCACAATTTAAAAGAACAATATTAATAAAACATTGTTGTTTGTTGTTGTGTGCCTTCAAGTCATTTCTGATTTATGGCAACCCTAATCATGGGGTTGTCTTGGCAAGTTTCTTTGAGGGGGAAGGGGTTGCCATTGCCATTGCCATCCTCTGAGGCTGAGAGAGTGTGACTTGCCCAAGGTCACCCCCAGTGGGTTTTTATACTCGAGCAGGGAATCGAACCCTGGTCTTCAGAGTTGTAGTCCAACACTCAAACCACCAGGCCATGCTGGCTCTCTTAATAGAAACACACAAAAATTTTGTATGTTAATAAAAACATAAAAAAAATGTAATACAGCAAAAGCATACAAAAAGCATTAAGACAGAATTAAACTTTGTTGTTGTGTGCTTTCAAGCCATTTCTTAATCATTTATAGCGAACCCTAAGGCAAACCCACCACAGATTTGTTCAGAGGGGAGTTGCCTTTCCCTTCCTCTGAGGCTGAGAGTATGTGACTTGCCCAAGGTCACCCAGTGGGTTTCCACAGCCGAGTGAGGATTCGAACTCAGGTCCACCAAGTGTTTGTGTCCAACGCTCAACCCACTCCACCACAATGGACTGCTTAAACAAAGTACATGGCCAGCTCTCACAAGTGCTTTACCAGTGGGTTCCTGCATGGCAAGCGGGTTGGACTATATTACCTTCATAGTCCCTTCTATTTCTAGTAGGCAGGAATCATGACATTTCTCTAACCTTCAACTCAAATTTGCTAAATGGCCAACACAACTCCAAGCATTCAACTATTGCTTCATTACATTTTAATTCCTCCTTCCCCCAAAAAACAAGGCGACTGGATGTACTCCTTTTCCAGGTCCTATATTTCCACCTTCTGTCCGGGAGGAATTCCAAAATGTCCACTTATTTTGATCTTCACCAAGAAGCATGAATGTCTATTTATAGGAGCCAGTGTGGTGTAGTGGGTTGAGTGTTGGATTCAAACACTCTGTGGATCATGCTTTGATTTTGAGTTCCTGCATGGCAGGGGATTGGACTGGATGGCCTTTGTGGTCTCTTCCAACTCTGATTCTATGACTTCTTCTGTTTTAAATTTTAAGATATAGCCGTGTTATTCTGCAGAATCAGTATGTAGAAAGATCTTGTAGCACCTTTGAGAGTAACTGGAAGAAAGAAGTTGGCAGCATGAGCTTTCATAGACTTCAGTCTACTTCCTCAGATTCCTCTGTGGACCAGGGTTCAAATCCCAGCTCAGCCACGAAAACCCAACTGGGTGACCATGGGCAAGTCACACTCTCTCAGCCTCAAAGAATGGCCAAGGTAAACTTGCCAAGAAGAAAACCCCATGACAGAGGTTCGCCTAAGGGTTGCCATGAGTCGGAAACGTCTTGAAGGCACACAACAACAAAGGAGTGCTTTTAGCTTTTATGTTGTAACGTCCCCCATTTTTCTTGAATGTCCTACATTTTACGGTGCCCTTGTCCTCTGAGGTTAGGACAATTGGTCACCCTGCACAAAAAGATGGCAGGTTCAGGGAAAAAACAGCAATAGAAAGTCATTCAGAACAAAAAAATAAGACAATAAAACAATTTATTTTTACTGGCAGCCACAGACTTCCCTTACTCTCTCTCAGCTTCTTTGACCC